GCATGAGTGTCCTTGCAGAGCCCCATAGCATGGGACTCATCAGGAGAACAATGGTGCCTACCACCACGGGTGCTGCAATGATCCAGCTACATCCAGGGTCAGCCCACATAAGTCAATGGCAGGGAGTTAGTTGGTATGTAGATGAACTTACAAGAAGGACACGCCCTGTTTAAGCTCATCGAATGGCTCGAAGTTCTGGCCAAAGTATCCCGTCAAGAAGGTCAAGGGCAGGAAGATAATGGTAGCCACTGTAAGCTGCTTCATTGATTCGTTCTGGAGGGCCGAGATGGTGTTGAAGATTAAGTCGATCATACCGTCGGCCGACTTCTTGATCTGCTCGAGAGATTCGGTTATCAGGATGCAATGATCGAGCACATCTCCCAGATAGATGTACGTCATTGGGGTAATGATGACGCCTGTTAGGGGGTCTTGCAACTCCTTTGCGGCGACATCTTGCGCCATGTCGGACTTGTGGTCCCGCAAGGCATTGATGAGGTTCGTGATGGGGTTGATGAAGCTGACCATTTTGCTTATCTCGGTTATCAAAACATAGAGACGTTTCGTGTGGGTGATGTTGGGTCTTGTCAGGACATCGAGCTCGAGATCTGCGATGACATCGGAATAACAGGCGGCAACAGGGATGGCGAGATCTATGATGGCGTCAACGATTGACTGACCGATCATGGATGCATCGCAGGACTGGCGAAGTATCGTATCTGGTGTTTGCAAGCGACGTATTATCGGTTGGGCAATATCCTCAGCAGACATCTCAAAGAAAGATATGATGCTGTTGTCGTTCAGGATGAATATGGAAACCTGCTCAGCAGCAACTGCCAGGTCCCTGGAAGCTAGGGCGGAGTGTTCCTCCATGAACCTGGCTCGAGGATCGTTAGGGTGACCGTGATATCTCTGCAGAGTTCGCATGAGAGGTGATTTGTTAGAGGACCGTGAAGTTGGAGAGTCGAGATCCGGTACTGCACGAGGACTTAGTGTGATTCCACCCTGCTCTTTGTCAGGCTCATCAGCCTCGTCTGCGCCTACACCAAGCAGGCGACTGGCCAACTGGCGCAGGACAAGGAATGGATCATGGCGGCCGATCCTTCTGCTATTACCCCCGTTGTAGTCCGGATACTTGGCTTGGTACTCTTCGTCGTCATCATCGTCGTCGTCGGGTTCTCCTGCCTCGTAGAGATGGACAAGCTTCTGGAGCGTGAGCACGATAAAGGCGTGGGTAGGGAACCTGTAGACTTGTCAGCGTCGTCAGCGACTCGCCATTCCATACCAAAGCGACTGAGTACGGTTGATTATAGAAAGGAAGGAAGGAAGGTGTGAGGACGCACCATTCGGCCTTTGTTCGGTTTCTCGTGTTCATGATATCCTCCACTGCCAGCTTGTGCAGGTGCTTGTGTTGGCCGAGGGCTTTAATGACATCCCAACTGAGGCCATTGACGTTGATCCAACGACACTTGGACCATTCGGGTTGGGGGAGGCGCAAGAACTGGTCCAGGGTGTCATTGTCGAGGTGCTGTATGGCCAGATTGTTTTCGCACAAGTCGACGACGGTTATATCGCAAGGGGCGGAGAGAGAGGGCATTGTGGCATGGCCACCATCGGGCTTTGAGGGATCTACGCCAGGTTCGGCGCCCGGTCGCCAGCCCGGCCTCACCTGGAATCTGTCAAAATCCTTCACAGTTCTGAAAGTAGCTGAGCGTTGAGGCAGGCGTCGCCTGAGAGCAGACGACGGCGTATCGCTGCGCCTACTGTCAAGGCGGCCGACAGCATTGGGGCTTGTTGGGTCATTGGACACGGCGGCAGACCCCCTGTCGACACCAATCAACGGCCCGAGGGGAGGAGAGAGGATGTGGCTGGCTTGTTGGTTATCGACCGGGGTGGGCGAGGCTGTTGCGCCCGACATGGCAGACTTCAGGTCAGGCCTCATCTCGTCGGATCCGGGGTGAGTGTTCGACGTCGTGGTCGGGTTCACTCATGACACGCGAGGTCGAAAGCAAGTCTTGGGCTGGGTACCGGAATCAACTGGGAACAGCATCGGGAAAGGGGGGGATTGGGGTGACTCCGAGTCGTCGCTTAGTGACTGAGGTCGCCTGTAGCGCTTCTTCACGCACGAGGAGGCTTCCATGGAGAGGTGAAAGCGGTGAAGTACGCCAGTATCGAAGTGAAGCAACAAGAGAAAAGAGAGAGAGGAAGAATTGATGATTTGCGACCAGACACAGACACTGAGAAATGGGACCTCTGATGACGTCTAATCTACTGTGTGGTATTCGTAGAAGGCTGTTAGGTCTTTTGGGGGGGTCAAAGCTCCTTGTCAAGACGACGCTAGCGGGAAGCTTAGCCGAGGTCGCTTGCATGCCAAGGCTCCACTAGCGGCAACCCGCAATCGTCTTATCGCGTCAGAAGTTCGCTGAGTGCTTTCATGTTCCATTCCCTCCATCTCAAACCTTCCACAAATAACACAACACTCGACCCGAGAACACTATCCCTTCACCTCGGCCAGCCACCACCTTACGTGTACTGCCAAGCACCATAGGTGCCTTTTGGGAGCACAGTGACCTTCAGGTTGACACCGTAGCAGTTGGCCAGTGTGGCGGCGTTTGTGGCATTCTTGGCCACGAGATTCCACGCGCTGCCTCCGCCCCCAGACGCTGTGGGAGGACACGCCGCCCAGCCATAGCCGTTGCCGTTGAGATTCACGAACCCCCCGCCGTTGTAGGCGACAAGACCCTCGACAGTGCTTCCGGGAGGGATATAGGCCGAGTGTGCCTGAGTGTACCCTACGTTCCAGTACGGATCAAGATACACTCCCTGTCCTCCCGGAACCATTGTATCCATTGCTGCCCGCCCCTCGCTCGCAAACATGGCCGTTATCTTGCCTGGAGGGCACGCCGATCCTACTTGCTGGCTGGGGCAGTAACTGCACGTCTCCCCGCCGATGGACCAATGCTGCCCGCAAGCTGTCACCGCCTTGCCGTCGATTGGCAGGCCTGGATTCGACGCCGTGAGGGTGAAAGGCGTGGTTGGGTCGACCGCGGGAAGCGTGGAGAGGACATTTTTGACACACTGATACATGAACTTGCTAAAGCAGGCTCCCGAACAGTACGACAGTGGCTCCCCGCTGCTAATGGGGCACAGGAACTGGTTGTCATAGCACACATACTGATGCGCCGCCCAAGTCAGTCCTCGGGCTCCGGCTATATATTTGCGTATGGAAACGTACCTGCGCCGTGTCATACTGAGCCGAACCGCAGTTCCGAAGCTCTGCGTATCCTAACGCGCTGATGCTCACCAAAATTACGGGCAGGAGGCTCTTGGGCGCCATGGTTTCCGGAGACGATGACTAGTCAGGGTGTTGTTGCGGTCTTGCGTTATGCTCGTCCTAGCAAGGCTAGGTATGGTATGGAAACTTTTTAGTCAGAGAGGGAGCGAAGAGGGGAGCTGGTGTGGTGAGGTGGCAGATGGACAGAATAACTGCAACGTGGATGACGGACGGTCAAGCCATTTTATATCATTCTGGACGGGCTCGTGGTTCGGTAAGGACTCTCCAACTTCCTGTCTCGAAGTCACCGCCGCGCGCGATGACCAAGGCAGGAGACAATGCGCACAGCTGGACTCCGGAGGCATCTTGCGGCGCATGGTTGGTCTCGCTTGACCTTTGGTTGACCTCGTATTCATTTGCTTGCATTGTCTGCGTTCCCCGAAATCTTCTGGGTGGTGTCGGCGGCAGTTCGCTCCGCTTACGACCCACCGCAGCTCGCGAATCGAGGTTTTGGAGTGTTCGAGGGCCAAGTATGGGAGTTCTGACGTTCATCAGCTCAGTGTACTCCAAAGTCTTAAGAGACTGCCGAATATAGACGGAGCCTAAACAACTTCCAGCCAGTGCCCGTGTGTCTTCCTCGTATTCAGCCATGTCATGTGGCTTGACAGGCCATCGATGGATATTGCAAGGACAACCAACTGTCAAGTTTGGGGCCAGTGTCAGCCAGCGTGGCGCTGTAGTGCTGCCGTGCAACACCGGGTAATCGCCAGCAGGTCGGGCTTTTCCAGCGCCTTTTGCTCACATCCTCGTCTCGGCACGTAGTCGTGGCCACCGTCGTCGCGATTGAAAACCTAGGAAGAATCACACAGAGTCCACCAGTCCATGTATTGACCCCAGACAACATCGAAAAGGGGCCCACCAGTCCAGCCGTAGTCCAAAGGAAGGAATGACAGTGGAAGAGGATGAGCAAAGGGCACTCCAGGACGTGGCCCGGCTGTCATGGTCTTGTCTCACGCACCTGGCAGACAAACACTGAGGCCTAGACTCTACTGTTAAAGATCCCACGGAAGAAAAGAAGTAGCCGGAGGCTGGGCATATCACACGGGCTGCCTTCCTGTTCGACGACAAACAAACACATATCCTCCCTGGCCGCGCACTTAATCTCCGATGGCAGCCATCAGCTATCGTTGGAGAGTCTCCGTGCTGGTCTGAAGAAGGGGAGCCTACCAGATCAGACCCGGCATGGTCTATTCTTGTTTTGCACATTGTGCAACTCGAATAATCTAGGACCCGGCAGGTTCGACGACTTGGAGCGGAATCCTCTTGACAATGTGAGGTTGAGCTTGACGGAGCTTCCGAACGATCTGCTGACTGTATGTGCTTACCTCGGCCCAAGTGGCGGATTCCTTCAGCGCAAAATGCTGTATAATATCAACTGTAGGTCCAAATACAGGTACCATGTACTCGAATACGGTGGGTTTCTGGCGTAAATTCTTCTGTCAACTCTTCCATCCAGTGCAAATGCACCTGGGAGTAACAACCTCGAGTCCTCGACACAATACAAAGCGAAATCATGATCCACCATACCCGCATTCAAAGACGAACTGACGCACTTGGCTGGTCATGACTCGCGCGTGTCCCTTATTATATCCACCGCATCTGCACTTTTTGCATCGGCTGTCGTCTGATAATCAGAAATCGAAGCTGAACCGGCCATGGCAGATCCAAAGCCCCCGTGGCCTAATGGCGAAGGCGCAAGAGTGAGCCAACAGAAACATTCCAAGTTCCACCACTTCAGCGACACTAACAACCACCTTAGCTTCTATAAGTAAATCTTGAGATTGCGGGTTCGACCCCCGCCGGGGGTTAAGTATAAAATATCGAACAATTCGAATACTGTTCCTCTTTTTGCCACGCTCGTCCACTGTTGAGCCCTCAGAACCTTCTGATGCCTCTCCAGAACTTTACTGTTTCCCTTGCAATGACAATACATCCTGTAGGATCGATGCTTTTCTTGCAATGCATCTCTGCCATCGCGCTGCAGCTGGGGGGGGCCATACTCCCTCGACTCTTCCACGGCACGTTGACAGCGGGTGAAGGATTGACAGGCAGGCCGGTCAGCCCAGTCCACTCCCAACAGGATTTCTCTGCAGAACATTCCCATGCGAAGGCAAGGGGCCGCGACATACCTTCAGACGAAGAAGACACGTTTCGATTCTTTGACCATATACCGTCACGACCCTCTTAGGTCACGTTGCAAATCCATCGAGAAGCCTGTGGAAGTAGGAGCATCCATTGACCATCGACCCGTAGGATTGTGGAATGCAACCCCAACCGGCCACTATCGGCCGCTTATCAAGTCTTGTGATATGCAAGTACAATGTAGGTAAAGCTTGCAGATGTCGCCTTGGTTTGAGGGGGGATCGGATGGTAGTCCCCCGTACGTGTGTGGTATGTGCGGCAGATGCGTATCTTACATAAGAACAGTCCAGAGATAGCAGAGAACGCCCCCCATTGCCAGCTCTGATCTGATAGCGCCCTTCACTTTGCTACGTCGTGCAACAATACACATGTGTGATGTCGCCAGTATACATCTCCAACGCTTTCCCACGTCGAACACATTAGGGGCTTGGGCTGAAGTCAACTAACTGATCGCACCCTGGAATTGTTCGGCGTAGATGGGCAGGCAAAGAGGTGGCCTTACTGGTGGCTGCATATAGAAGAGTCTACCGCCAGTGGCCTGACCCCCAGCCCCTGCATCCCGCAGGGTGGGGTGTTGCAGCGCTTGATCAAATCCGATCTGCACGACCATCAGTCCCATCTACTGTGGGAAGTGTACTGGGCGAAGAAGTCCAGATGGCGGCTCTGGTGATGAGGGGTCAAGAACCCACCAATGCAACGAAGGACGCGCAAATCGCGGCGATGGATCGGGAGTCTCTCTTTGCTCTCGCCATACACTACCTAGTCTGCCCACGAGTCCCAGGCTTGGTCTGGCTGCGGCGAAAGCGAACGAACATTCCGCAGCGGTGAAATGTACGTGTAGAAGCACCGAGTGTGATGCCTACGATACCACCCCCTTTTCCCTCAACGCAGCAGAATGTTTCCTTGACTGCAGAGGTTGTCCATTGGTGCCGGATAGACTGTGTCCATCTCATACCAGCGCCGAAGGGAATGCTTCGGCACATATATCATGGCTCGCTACCGAGCCCATGGCTCCTGTAGCGGATCATTATCATTCTGTTTCCCAGCTCTAGGTTAATCCATGAGGTCTTACCGACACGATCGAGTTAGTCAGAAGACCGTGGTATAGGGGCTATTGTATTCACTTCACCAACAGCCGCCACCCCTCGAGTTGGATATGTTCGCAACGTCCGTCATGCTGGACCGCTACGTCAGATAGTGTAGCGCTGGATCTGACCTTCACCATGTCTGCGTCGCCCACCAGCATCCGACCGAGCTGGCGTTCAAGTCCAAGCCTATCATCCCACTATCGGGGTGTTCAAACGGGCATCGGGGCCTTGGGACCTTACCAGGAACCGGGGCCTTTCCAGCAACCGGGACCGTACCAGGAACTAGAACGGCCCCAGATGCTCAAGATGGCGGATCATCTGTCTGCCAGGCCTAAGCCTCAAATGCTCGACCCAGCAGCTTACATGTTTCCCCGACCCGCCCCTGCAGCTGCTATTACAGAGGCTCCAAAGACGCCTGTATACGACTACAAGCCGACAGCGTTGAGATGGTGGTTCATGGCTGTCTTGGTGGCTGTTCTCGTCACCTTGACAGCCGTGACCGAACACTCTCTCCGGTCCCTTCCGGACTATGGCCTTGATTACGACCTCCAGAGGTTGGCTCGCTCCATCTCGCAACGCAACTCTCCTGCTACCATGCCTCGGGTGCGAAACGTCACGGCTGAAACGGATTCGCGAATTCCGACAGACCCAGAGACCGCCGCCGTGGTCATCCCACAAGTCCCAGAATCCTCATCGAAGGTACCGACCATATCAACAACTGCCGAAACCAAGTCACCTGCACCTGCCCAGACAGCGCCCAACGGCACGCCGACTGCAGCAACCGGGGCTCCGCTGACAGCAACTCAGATGAAGCCAACGGTGCCGACATCATCCGCGAAGCCGAGCTTCGATTCGGGGTTTGAAGAGAGTGCTACCCAACCGGAGGTTTCAAAGACTTACACGCCCCAAACCCCATCCGCAGCAAGCCAAACCTCGGCAAGCCAGAAATTAGGAAGCGGTCCATTGACGGGTCATGGGGAACACCAGACGCTTGATAAAGCGATTCCCAGCACGAAAGTGGCCCAGACATCCACGTCAATATGTTTCGATTGCAGCGTCGACTTCTCAACACCGACATCAGCTTACTTGTCCCTTGTCACGGCCACTTCGACGGCCAGCTTGCACACAACTATCGATGGGAAGGGTACGACGGTCAAGGACGTCGTTACCAGCACTTTCCCGACCACGGTCCAAGCTGACCCGGCGCAGGACTGGGTGCCGTCGACAACCACTGTCCAACTGCCGACTACTTTGGCTGAAACCACAATGATAGTACAGCATGTGACGACTGACTCTGCTGGCCGCACTAGCTCCCAGTCGGTGACGGTAATCGTCAGCGAGACAACAAGCACGATGGCGTCGGCCGTTGTCCTCCAGCTAGGCCAGTCTTGGGTCACAACAACCGGTCCCGTTACCACATCGACCGTCAGCAGCAAGAAATCCTTGCAAACAACCTTAGTTGCCGGCGATAACGGCGAGACGGTCACTTCGGTATACTGGACAACTCTTGCACCGACAACGATAGTCGTCACGGCAACGTATGGCACCGTGATTGGAGCCGGCAGCCGCCCTGCTGCTCCAACGGGCACGGCGGCTTCCTCATCCGACACGGCCGCAAACTCCATGGTGGTTGTGGTTGGCATTTCCCGTTCACAGTATCTCTCTGGCTCGTTTCTGCCCACGTTAATAGCAGTGCTGGTCGCAATGCCGCTCAAAGCCATCGGTATCAATGCTCGACTATTTCAGCCCTTCATTGCACTCAAGGCCTCGCCCGCTGGCGTCACAGCTGACGCCTCGGTCTTCCTTCGACTTCACGGGTGGCGTAATGCGATTCTCTCCTTCCCAAGGGCAGTCATGTTACGCCAGCCACTGGTCCTCGTCGGCCAGCTGCTCGTTGTTGGATCGGCATTGTTGGCACCGCTGGCGGCGGAGGCCGTGCGGGTGTACGTGCCCGATGGCTGTACTGGAAACTGCCCGGGGTCTTTGGGAGTCGACATTGCGGCCGGAAGGATGCTCCAAGTACTGATGGCCTTGCTGATGGCCTTACTTGTTGGAATGGCGGCTTTGCTGGCATGGCTCAAGACCGGCGTGAAACAACACCCGTGGAGCATTGCTGGTATGGCTGCTTTGGGTGTCAATAAGGAGATGAAGGGACTTTTGAAGAAGATCGGCAGAGGGTTGGGCGATGAAATTGATGACTCGGAATTTTCCCATGTGCTGGGGAAACACGGGTTCACCCTGGGTTGCGATGGTGAGGATTTGCCGTACGCGATCCGAGTGACTACCTTCCCCGTGCCCTCAGGCGGGGATCTTCCAAGGAGGAAGACGAGCGACGGCAAGGAACAAGCCTGGAAGTCAGAAGTCGGGAGGACAGCGCCGGCCGTCCCACTGTATCTCTTGACACTCCAAGGACGGATATTCCTCCTTCTGTGCTTCACCGCCGTCCTGGTGTTACTGCTCTGCTATGAGAACAGCTGGGGTACCTCCAACTTTGAGCGCTTCATGAACAACCAGGGGTTCGGTGTCCGTTTTGTCTTTACGGCTCTGGGCGTTGCTTTCGGGTTTTCCATGGGCGCCTTTTTCCGATGTAAGTCACTGGCACAGGTGCTGGCCTTTCTTATGTATTAACATGCTAACTTTCTTGACAGCCGTCGCCGTTCTCTCACCATATCTAATGATGTCGCAGAGGGCACTGCCCGCACAGACTTGCATCCTAGTCTCGCCAGCTAGTAATACTTTCTCCGGAATGTACTCCGCATTCCGACAGAGACACCTGTACCTGGGTGTCGTGGCCGCTACAAGTCTGTTGGCCGACTTTCTGCCGGTGACACTGTCGCATGTCCCGTTCAGTGTTCTCGAGACCCACGAGGCCCAGTACACTTGCGCATACTTGAGCATTGCCATCCTCGTGGTGATGATCCTGGTCGTCGCTGGTTCCCTGGCAGTCCGGTGGCCGCATATGCCGGCCGATCCGCGAACAATTGCCGGAGCCTTGTACTACCTCTGCGACTCTGGCATCCTCGATTCCTTTAGCGGCCTAGCGGCGGCGGAGCCGCGTGATTGCAACTGGATGGTGAAGTCGATGTGCGTCCAGTACAGATTCGGCAACATGATAGGGTTGAGCGGTAAGGAGAGGATCTGCATTGACGCCGTGGACCCAGATGTGACGGAAGAGGGCGGGAGAAGCTGAGGACCAACAAGGGAGAGAGTCACAAGACTGAACCAACCGTACATACCATCGGCATTCGTACATATTATGACAGGCATCCGGATATATTATGATTATCAATGACACATACCTGCAGACAACGGTGTACGGTCGATGAACCCAGCGGGGGATGTCTCTCAGGACGTGATATTTTGCTGTCAACGTGCCAAAAAATACTTCAATTGGACAATTCAACACGGTCCCCTCGCAGATCTGTCAATAATCCAGTGTCTCTCTCGCCCACACCACTGGCCATGCCAGCTTCGAGCTGAAGTTTAAGCCATTCCTCTACTTCGTCCAAGCCTACATCGACACTGGGTATTCGTGTCCACAGCTCGACAGGCAGCCTGCATCCCCTGCAGGCCTCGCT